CTCATGCAATCGCTCCATTGCTGAGCCACTCTCCAGCCCCTCTTTCTCCTGGGTCTGTACGGACGCCTGCCATTGGATTTAGGGTCCACCCTCAATCTAGGATGATCTCAATGTAGAATGATCCTGATTCTTAAATACATCTACAAAGACCCTATTTCCAAATAAGGTCACATTCACAGGTAACAGGGAGTTAAGACTTGGAGATAAATATATAACATATAAAAGTAAGGTTATGTATAATAATGAATATATCATCTTACAAAACTGAAGCTCTACATCCATTAAGGTCCATCCCCAGAGCTGGGCATGGTGGTGCATGTCTGTAATCCCAGCTACTCAGGAGGTTGAGGCAGAAGGATCACAAGTTTGAGATCAACCTCAGCAACTCAGCAAGACCCTGTCTCAAAATAAAAAGGGCTGGGGTGGGGCTGGGGTTGTGGCTCAGTGGTAGAGCACTTGCCTAGCATGTGTGAGGCCATGGGTTCGATTCTCAGCACCACATATAAATAATAAGAATGAATAAAAATAAAAGGTCCATCAACATCTAAAAAAATATTTTAAAAAAAGGAATAGCCATTAAAAAAAAAAAAAAGGTTGGGGACATATGCAGATCAGTGGTAGAGCACCCCTGGGTTCAATCCCCAGCACCAGGAAAAAAAAAAGACAAAAACCACAAAACAATTACCCAATCATCTGCAAAACCCCCAGAACCCCACTGCCCCTTCTCTAGTCTCCACAGTCCCTGGCAGCCACCGCGGTTTCGGTTTCTGTGAACTGGACTCCACTTAGTGGAATTGAGCAGCGTCTATTTTTTCGTGCCTGTTTTATTTTGCTTCAGCTCTCAGTATTTATTTTCTAAGTTTAAAGACGGTGCTGAAATCTACACGGCACTCACATCTTTGAGCTGGGATGCGGCTCAGCACAGAGCACCTGTCTGGTAGGTGCAAGGTGCGCTGGCCCTGGGCTCCATCCCGGCAGCTCACAGAACCGACCCCTTAACCAGTAAAATCATCTTATTCTTAGTTGGCAAATGATCGCCTGTATTTACGAGACACAATGTTATTTTTCAACACGTGTGTCCATGGTGGGATGCTCAAGTCAGGCTGGTTAACAGATCCATCTCCTCACATATTTCCTGAGGTAAAATCCGCTCTTGTGGCAATTTTGAAATACACAATGTATTATTATTAACTGTAGTCACCAGAATTTATTCTTCCCAATTAAATGAAACGGTGTGACCTTCCCACCCCAGGTGCTGGGAACTACCACTCACTGTTCTGGGACTTTGATGTGTTTTGATTCCACATCTGAGTGGACAGTGTGGTGTCTGTCCTTCTGTGCCTGGCTTATTTTTACTTAGCACGCTGTCTCCAGTGACAGGATCTCCTTCCTTCTTAGGGCTGCATAGTACTTCGTGGTGCAGATGTTCTATGTTTTTTTGCCTATTTTTCTGCGGGTGGACACTTAGGCTGTTCTGTATCTTTACGACTGTGCACAAGGGCGCGTGAACATGGGGCAGATATCTATGTGACACGTGCTTTCAATCTCCTGGGAAGCACACCCAGAGATGGACAGCTGGTTCACACGGTGGCTCTACTTTGGCTTTTTGAGGCACCTCGCCCCCTATTTCTTGAATGGCTGTACCCTGCCGCAGTCTGGCTGGGCACAAATGCCGCAGTCTGGCTGGGCACACAATCACGAGCCACCACACAGCTTGTAGATTCAAACAGCAACTCTTTATTCCCGAACTCACACCAGCCCTAATCCACCCTGGTCCTTGAGCAAGGTCACCTACATTCAATGTCACTGCAACATGGGGTATGCTGGCAAGGAAATTGTCATACCTACTTGGCTAATGGCTCCCAGCAGTACCCCTCTTCCCACCTCTTGCCACATGCATGGTACAGCCGTCCCTGCAGTTGTGACGGAATTCCAGTCCAAGCAGTTTGGTGGCAGTGAGTAGATTCACCTTGTTGGGCAACGACTACTGTGGCCACCTCCAGAGCCCTTCTCATCTTGTGAGGCTGAAACTGTCCCCGTCGCACACTAGCTCCCCTTTCCCCTCCCTGGACATATCTTTGGGGGCGCTACTCAACCCACCGGAGCCCACCCTCTCACTAGTGCTGAGCTGGTCCTGGCTACACCCTGCCATGTCCTCCTGCATCTCCTGGAGGAAAGAGACCCCTGTGTAGACTTTCCTATGTGCTTTCAGAGTGGGGCCAGGTTTTAAGGAACAAAGGATAATTCCGTGGCACACATGCTGCACCCAGTTGACCAGAATCACCTGGGCATCTCTTCCAGACTCCACACTGTGTGGTTGGATCTGAACGTTCCCCTAAGGCTCGCGTGAGGAAGCTTGGTCTCCAATGCGGCCATGTCCAGAGGAGGGGCTTTGGGGAGGTGGCTGTATCATGAGGGCTCCGACCTCATTAGTGGACTCACCCATTCGTGGGTTCACCATCACAAGTGACGGGAAGCTGACTAACACATGTTCAGTGACATCGTGGGTCAGCTTGAAGTCAGCCACGGTAGGCATGCTCACACCAAGGAAAGCATCCCATGGGCAGGCAGAGCTCTCCTCGGCCTCCTTAGATGGGTTACGAAGCTCCCACTGGACCACTGACGCCTGACTGTTCATCAGAGGTGCCAAAACCCACGAGTACAAGAGGTGGGAGCCACCCAAGTGTCCATCAAGGGTAAGTGGATGAGAAAACACGAGATACGTGCTGCATACGTCCAAGGAGCATCAGTCAGCCTGGAAAAGTCAAGAGATGCCAACTCATGCTGCCAGTTCGCATGAGCCCTGAGCACACGGCAGCCGGTGGAGTGAGCTGGTCCTGAGACCAAGGCTGCGGGCGTCCCGCTATGGGGGCTGATTCACCTAGTCTGATCAGGGAAATGGGGTACGATGATGGCTGCCAGTGGCCACCTGCCTGCTTTGATGCTGTGGAGGTCTGGGTGTCTGCAGAGGCCACGAAGCGGGGTCCATGAGTGCATCCTGGCTGGCCTCCCTGGCACGCAGGGTACGCTTCTGTGGAGCACACGTTTGGGGGTGATTGCTGGTCCAGACGCTGAGCAATTATATAGCTCAGAGAGTGTGGAAACAAGTCTCTGGCCGTCAGTACTGCCCTTCATCCCACCAACACGAGGGACGGGCAGTCCCTTCCCTTTGGCCATTCTGGAGGGGCTGCAGTGGTTTCAACTCACACTTCCCTGGTGGCAGATGGGGTATCTGATGCCCTCTTCTGTGAGTGCCGCAGACTCTGCCCATTCTCTGCACTGTCTTCTCCCACCTGTGGCTGCCTTCCCATGCACTGAGGGAATTTTTTTTTTTTTTTTTTGGTACCAGGGATTTAACTCAGGGGCACTCAGACACTGAGCCCCATCCCCAGCCCTATTTTGTATTTTTTTTAGAGACAGGGTCTCACCGAGTTGCTAAGCGCCTCACCATTGCTGAGGCTGGCTTTGAACTTGCGATCCTCCTGTCTCAGCCTCCCTAGCTGCTGGGATTACAGGCATGTGCCACTGCACCTGGAGACTTGCTAATGACATCTTCTTTGAGTTATTATTATTTTTTGTGGTGCTGGCATTGAACCCATGGCTTAGTGCATGCACGGCAAGCACTCCACCACTGAGCTATGTCTCCAGCCCCATGAGACGTCCTTAATGTCATGCAATCCCATTTCTCCCTTTACATGGGAAAGCACATTTTTTTGTGTGTGCTTATATTTAAAGATCTTCACCTTTTCCAAGATCATAAACAGACTTCCTTCTAAGTTTTGTTATTTTTCTCTCACACTTAGATCTTCAGTTCAGCTGGGGTCGACCCTTCCTGTTTGTGAGGTGTGGTCCAGATTCGTTCCTTTCCCCCGTGGGCCTCCAGTCAACCCAGCACCAATCACTGGAGGCCGTCCTCACTGCTGGTGGTACCTGTGTCTTTTTCTGGATTCTGTTCTACTCCTTCCGTCTGCTCACCTACTCCCTCACCAGTGCCGAGCCGTCTGGTGACTCTGCTGTTGTGACACGTTACTACCAGTGATGAGCTGGGTTCAAGATTACCTCAACTGAACTCGACCCTTGGCACTCCTGTAAGAACTTTAGAACTGGCAGGTTGATTTCTAGCCATAATCAGCTCAAGTCGAAACTCACTCCTTCTGCCCATGCTTTCCTTGCATCCCCCAAATTTGATGTTATTTTTACAGAGTTCGAAGTATTTTCTATTTCTTTTGTAAGCTCTTTGACCCACGAGTTGCTGGATATTTCCAAATACTTGAGGCTTTCCTTGCTATCCTGGTATTACTGATTTAATTTCAGCATCAGGGGTGTATTCTGTATGATTTCAGTCCTTTCGGACCTACAGCCATGGCCCAGCATTTGGTCCACCTCACCGAACACCGCACAGGAGAGGAGCGGAGGAGAGCCCAGTGAGGGGCTGAACGCCACCAGGGCAAACTTCTCCCTGCCGTCGTCTTCCTTCAGCCTAAACAGCCCCTTAGCACTTCCTGTAAATGGGTCTGCTGGATAAATCCCCTTTTCTTTTACACAACAAGGTCCTTATCACCTTGTTCTTGAGACAGTTGGCACCCTGTTTGGCAGACTGGACACCTTCCGATACTCCAAGGGGCTGTTCCCTCTCCTCTGGTTCCTGTGTTTTTTTAAAAATTCTAATTTGTTATACATGACAGCAGAATGCATCACAATTCTTATTATACACAGAGCACAATTTTTCTTTTTTTTTTTAAATATTTATTTTTTTAGTTATCGGCAGACACAACATCTTTGTTGGTATGTGGTGCTGAGGATCGAACCCAGGCCGCAAGCATGCCAGGTGAGCACGCTACCGCTTGAGCCACATCCCCAGCCCACAGAGAACAATTTTTCATACCTCTGGTCGCACACAGTCATGTCCTTGGTGTCTTCATACATGTGCTTAGGTGACCATCGCATTCCACCGTCTTTTCCATCCCTGTGCCCCCTCCCACCCTTTCCTCCCTTCTCCCTATCTACAGTTCATTTAATCACCCCCCCCTGCAGCATATTATGAGTCAGCCTCTCACATCAGAGAAACCATTCGGCATTTGTTTTTTGGGATTGGCTAACTTCACTTAGCATTATATTCTCCAGCTCCATCCATTTACCTGCACATGCCATGATTTTATTCTCTCTTACTGCTGAGTAACATTCCACTGTGTATATATGCCACATTTTTTCTTTATCCATTCATTCACTGAAGGGCATCTAGGTTGGCTCCACAGTTTAGCTTTTGTGAATTGTGCTGCTATAAACATTGATGTGGCTGTGTCCCTGTAGTATGCTGATTTTAAGTCCTTTGGGTTTAGACTAAGGAGTGGGATAGCTGGGTCAAATAGTGGTGCCATTCCCAGTTTTCCAAGGAATCTCCATGCTGTTTTCCATATTGGCTGCACCAGTTTGCAGTCCCACCAGCAATGTCTGAGTGTGCCTTTCCCCCACATCCTCGCCAACACTTACAGGTGTTTGTATTCTTAATAGCTGCCATTCTGACTGCAGTGAGATGAAGTCTTGGAGTAGTTTTGATTTGCATTTCTCTAATTGTTAGAGATGTTGAACATTTTTCATGTATTTGTTGATTGGTTGTATATCACTTTCTGAGAAGTGTCTGTTCAGTACCTTGGCCCATTTACTGATTGGGTTGTTTTTCTGGTGTTAAGATTTTTGCGTTCTTTATATCTAGAGATTAGTGCTGTATCTGATGTGCGTGTTGTAAGAATTTGTTCCCAATTAGCAGGCTCTCTATTCACCTCATGGATTATTTCTTTTGCTGAGAAGAAGCTTTTTAGTTTGAGTCCATCCCATTTACTGATTTTTTAAATATTTGTGTTTTAATTGCAGTAGGACACAATATCTTTATTTATTTATTTACTTTATTAATTTATTTTTACGTGGTGCTGAGGATCAAACCCAGGGCCTTCGCATGTGGTTTCCATGGTTTCTGAGAAGTCAGCCAGTTCTAGCCTCTACCCCTGCATGCCATGTGTTGTTTTTCTAGGGCTCTTTTTAAAAATTTTTTTCATTTCGTATTTGCTTTCCAGCAATTTGACTATGATGTACCTACACTTGGTTCTCCTTGAGTTGATCACAGAATTTTTCTTTTTCTTTTGTGGTGCTGGGGATGGAACCCAGGGCCTTGTGCATGTGAGTCAAGCCTCTACCAGCTGAGCTCTATCCCCAGCCCCAGAATTTCTTACATATGTAAGTTCATGTTTCTCACCACATGTAGGAAGTTCCAGTCATTTTTTCCGCCAGATACCTTTCCCCACTCCATTCCTTCTCTCCTCTCTTTGTAAACTGTGTCACACACAGGCATGTGACATTGCCCCACAGGCGCTTCCTTTAGATTGGATAAGTTCTACTGAGACACGGTCAAGTTCACTGCGTGATCCCTGCTTTGCTCTTAGTCCAGTTAACTTTCACTGAAAACATTTTCATTTTCAGTTCCAGAATCTCCATTCAGACCTGTGGTTCCTGTGATCTGCCATGACTGTCTCCATCTATCCACTGTTGAAAGCCTATGTTCTGCACACCAGTGGGCACGGTCATGGGGTTGCCTTGACATCCCGGCTTGTTAACTCCATCATCTGGGTCCTGTCAGGGTCGATCTCCAGCCTTCTTTTTTTTGAGAATGAAATCACATTATTTTCTTTTAATATTGGTTGATTTTGGATTGTGTCCTTGACATGATGATAGTCTGTGGTAAGTCTGCATTCTTTTAAAATAGTGCTGATTTTTTGTGTTAGTTGGCAATTGACTTGACGGGACTCAGACCACACTCTATCCTTGGGGAACTTTGTGTTTTTGTACTGGAGGTTGAACCTAGGGGTGCTCTACCACTGGGCTGCATCCCCACTTGATTTATTTTTGGGGACAGGACCTCACTAGGTTGCCCAGGCTGGCCTCAAACTTGTGATCCTCCTGCCTCAGCCTCCCAAATTGTTGGGATTACAGGAATACGCCACTGTGCCCAGCACACTCTGTCCTTTGGCCAGGCTGTTTGGGGTCTGGCTGACCGTGGTTCAGAGGTCAACTAAAGACCGAGGCAAGAGTTATCATCTGATATGGGTCTCCCCTTCTCTGGGATGCCCCTTGCCTTCCAGAGGTGCCACTGCCTCACTCTGCCTTCCAGCTCTTCAGGTTGTTGCTGGAGTTTTACCTGCCCTTCACGGTCTGGCCTGGGTCTTGACCTCAGACACAGGTGGCTCACCGGCCCTGCCCTGCTTCCTAGTGCTGGCTCCTCTCCAGAGTCTGGGCCTGGGCTCACTCCCTGTGACCACAGCTAATGCTGGTTTGCGTGCTGCCTGGCTTGTGGCACTACCCGAAGGAGGGCGAGTTCAGGAGGAGTCTACCATCCTGGAAATAGAAGCTCAAACTCGTGGACAAAATCAAGAACAAAACAAAACAAAACAAAACAGCTGGGATTTAAAAATTCATTTTGCTGCTGGGCATGGTGGTGCACGCCTGTAATTCCAGAGACTCGGGAGGATGAAGCAGGGGGATTGCAAGTCCCAGGCCAGCCTCGACTAAGCAAGAACCTATGTCAAAAAAATAAAATTTAAGCTGGGTGCAGTGGCTTACTCCTGTAATCCCAGTGACTCAGGAGGCTGAGGCAGGAGGATCGTGAGCTCAAAGGCAGCCTCAGCAAAAAGCGATATGCTAAGCAACTCAGTGAGACCCTGTCTCTAAATAAAATACAAAATAGGGCTGGGGGTGTGGCTCAGTGGTCGAGTGTCAGAGTTCAATCCGTGGTACCAAAAAACAGACAAAAAACCCACCCCTGAAAGCCAGGGTTATGGTTTAGATCTGAAAGGTCCCTGAGAGGCCCATGTGTTAGGATTTGGTCCCTGGCATGGTGCTTTCAGGAGGTGGTGCAGTCTTTGGGAGGTGGGTCTAGCGAGAGGGCCTCAGGCGTTGGCAGGGTGCCCTCTGAGGGGTCTGCGAAACCCCGGTCCGCCCCTTCTTCTCTTTTGCTTCCTGGCCACAAGCAAGTGGTTCTGCTCGGCCACATGCTTCTGCCCCGATCAGTGCCTCACCATAGGCCCAAAGCCACGGGGCCGACCAGTCAGGGGCTAAAACCTCCAAAACAAGCAAAAATAACCCTTTTCTTTTCTTTTTTCTTCTGAGAGAGAGAGAGAGAGAGAGAGAGAGAGAGAGAGAGGATCAGAACCCAGCGACCCGCACATGCCAGGTGAGCGCTATTGCTTGAGCCACATCCCCAGCCCCCCTTTTCTTTTTATAAGCTAATTTTTTCAGGTATTTTGCTATAGTGACAGCTAACACACCTACTCTCCTGAAAAACTTGAGTTTCACTGAAGTTGCTTTGAAAGGTGCACCAGACCATAAGTGCTGTCATTGTAAAGTTTGTTAGTAGGCATTGTTGAGACATATAAATTGAGATATTAGATGCTGACCACTAAATATCAACTAAAAGGAAAAAAAATATGAAACTTTTAAAATTAAGAGACCCCCTATAAGAATATCAAAAAACAAATACTGCAACATAAAACTAATGAAAAGACTGACAGTCAGAAAATTGTAAAATATGATTGAATGGCAAGGCATGGTGGCACACACCTGTAATCCTACCTACTCCAGAGTCTGAGGCAGGAAGATCACAAGTTCAAGGCCAGTCTGGCAGCTTGTTGAGACCCTGTTTCAAAATGAAAAATGAAATGGGCTGGGGGTGTAGCTTAGTGGTAGAGTGCCCCTGAATTCAGTCCTCAGTAACAAAAACAAAAGCACCACTGGGAGATGTTAGACAAGAAAACTAAATACCTAGAGGGGTCTACCGATTCAATATAGTAATAGAGTTGTTTCTCCCAAATATGATATATATATATATATATGTATTTTCTCCCCAAATATGAAAAAAATTCATGAAAAATTCACAAAATGAAATTTTCCCTGGTACTGGGAGTTGAATCCTGTGTCCTATGCATACCAGGGAAGTGTTCCACCACTGACCTACATTTCTAGCCATTTTTTTATACTTTTTTATTTTAAGACACAGCCTTGCTAAGTTGTTCCAGCTGGCCTTGAACTTGTGATCTTCCTACCTCAGCCTCTGAAATGGAGTCCTTGGGATCATGGTGGGCATCACTGCACCTGGCTGGAATTTGGGTTTTACAAATTGAGATGTGACCTGAAGGTGGACAAGTTATTTTAGGAATTAACCAATGCAAAAAGAAATTCTAAAGACCCACCTGAGGGACATCTCGCTTTAGGAAAGTCCAGAGCATTGCACCTTCCAGGAAGGGTGGAGGTGAGAAGCCACCCAGTTGCTCCCCTGGATCTAAGGCCTGCCTGTCTCTTTGGCATTCTGGGAGGGAGACCTTCAGGAAGTCCGACACTCCAGAGCGCTGGCAGGAGAGGGTAGTGCCTCCTGAAATTCCCACAGGCTCCTTTCTGTGAAGCCCAGCCGTGAGGCTATGGCTGCTCTTGGTGGAAGTTAGCCAAGAGGCTCTCCAGGTATTGCTGAGGCTCACCCACAGTCTGCTTGGGAGGTCCCATCTGTCTCAGGAGGGAAGGGCCTGCCTCTAGTTAGCAGGAGAGCGGGCACCTCACCATGGGTGTCCAGCTGGGCTTAGTGAGGGGATGGAGGAGTTGATCAGCTCTGGGGCCTGGCAGCCTGAGGGTCTGAATGCTGGCTTCTCTCCCTACCAAGAATGCAACCACAGGCCAAGGACTTAACCTCCTCAGGCTTTGGTTCCCTCTCCTGCAAATGGGCTCATAGGGGTATTGGGTGGTTGGTTCTCATGACTCCTGGGCCCTCAGCCTTGTCCGTAGTGAGGGAGTCCTGACTGAGCAGGTCTATCGTTACCAGGCTCTTCCCTGTCCCTCAGGTCAGGCTGCTGGGACCCAGCAGCTTGTGTCCTCAGCTGAAGGTCTGGTCAGGCTCTCTAGGGCTTTCTCTGCAGGAGTGACCAGACTGGGAATCAGGCATACAGGGCTGAGTCATGTCCCCTCCCTCCAATGCATATCCACCCAAAACAAAAGAAGGGACCTTATTTGTAGGTAGAGTCTTTGCAAATGTAATGAGTAAAGACCTCTCAAAATCATTCTGGATTTAGGTCCCAAATTCAAGGACAGGTGTCCCTATAAGAGGAGAAGTACTGGTAACCTAGGAGGCAAAAAAGGGAGAGGGTACTGTCATATAAGGAAGGACCCCCTGGAGCCACCCGAAGCTGGAAGAGGCAGGAAGGACCCCCTCCTCTGTTGCCTCAAGAGGGAGTGCAGCTCTGTCCACAGCCTGATTTCAGACTCGGCTTTCAGAGCTGTGAGAGAGATTTGGGATAATTTATGGCAATGCTAACAGATGTGTGCACCTGTGTTGGCACAGTAGGTTTGCGCTCATGAGCGAGTCCCTTGGATGTGGGTCCACTGACCACGCTCATGTCCCTCTGAGTCTACATAGCTGAGAAAGGCTGCCTGAAGGGCTAGTGAGGTCACCCAGGAAGTGGAACCCTGGGAACCAACCCTAGTCCTCCAGCTGCCACCTGGCTGTATGTCCTTTAAACAAAAATACATGTGGGAGCTGGGTGCAGTGGCCACACCTGTAATCCCCGTGACCTGGGAGTCTGAGGCAAGAGGATATGCAAGTTCAAGGCCAGCCTCTTGCAAGCGAATGAGACCCTATCTCAAAATAAAAAATAAAAAGGGCTGGGGTTGTGGCTAGGTGGTAGAGCACTTGCCTAGCACCTGTGAGGCACTGGGTTTGATCCTTAGCACCACACAAAAATAAATAAATAAATAAATAAAAAACAACGGGCAGGGGGGCTGGGGACATAGCTCAGTTGGTAGAGTACTTGCCTGGCATGTACAAGGCCCTGGGTTCAATCCCTAGCACTGCCAAAAAAAAAAAAAAAAAAAAGGTTGGGGATGGTGCTCAGTGGTAAAGCGACTCTGGTCCAACCCCCACACACATACACACCATTAACAGAAGGCCTGTGGTATGATGAAGGGCTTCAGCATCCAGAGCACCGTGGAATCACTCACTGGGGTTATATTTATTTCTAAATGTAAGTGTGTCTGATGCTCTATTTTTATGGAAAAGCGATGCTGCTTACTGAATTTAAAAGACCCACAGAGTTGCTGGCTCGGGAAGCTGCTGCTTTGGCCACCTGCTCATCTGTACTGTTTTGGGGTCTGCCACTCTCCCTCATCCCAGATTTTCTTCCACGTTTCCATGTAGTGCTGGGAGTTTCCAATTGTTATAGTCCCCCCCTTTCTCTTTATGCTGGGCAGGACTTCAAATTTCATACTACAGAAGTCATAACTGCTTGTGGCAACATGGAAACCATACATAGATTGTGCGCTGCAGGTATCAATCTGTAGATCATACACTTAAAGAAAAACCTTTCCTGAGTCTCCAGGGTGGCCAGGGCTGAGCAGCTGTGTGTCAACTGCTCTTGTGAAGTCTTGTGGGAAGTCTTGAGGGAAGGAGCCTCAGGATTTCCTGGCCACTCCCACCCCTACCTCATCCTAAAGATGGGCAGTGCTCTTGAAAACAGTAGCTGTACAACTGCCTGAGCCATGGATCCTATGTTGCCCAAACACTTTTGGTGCACAGGACCATTCTGCAAGGGATGAGTGGACATGGATCCTTATCTCTGCCACATTTGCTGAAGCTGTGGGCTGTGGGGAACTCCAGAGAGCACTGGCAGTGACATGAGCAAGTACATGGTGCAGGAGGCTGAGCCCCTCCTGCAGGGGCTCAGGATCATAAGGGGCAGAGGGGTCCTCAAAGGGCCTTTGGAGGACCCAGCAGCCACCACTCTGTGGCTGACTCCGAAAGATTTCAGCAGCAGGGCTGGGGTTGTAACTCTGTGGTACAGCGCTTGCCTAGCCCATGTGAAGCACTGGGTTTAATCCTCAGCACCACATAAAAACAACTAAATAAATAAAGGTATTGTGTCCATCTCAACTAAAAAAAAAAAAAAAAAAAAAATATTTCAGCAGCAGATGTGCAGGTAGGAATGTGAGCGTGGGAACCCCCAAAGTTACATGGGCCTTGGGGCTGGAGGCCTGGGAATCTAGATTTCTTTCACCTGGCGTCCAGCTTTCTGCCCCAGTCCTCCTGAGAGTTTTGAGGGACACACACAGCTGTACCACTACCCAAGGTGCTCAGGGGCTGATGGCAGCCTGCTGCTAATGGCTTGACCTACTTTAAAATTTTCTCATTAGTCAACGTTTAAAAATTCTGAGATTTGGGGCTGGGTAAAGTGATAAAGTACTTGCCTACCAGGAACCAGATCCTGGGTTCCATCCCCAGCACTGCAAAAAACAAAACCAAAAAACAGATTTTACATGCAACTCCAATTTTTTGCTCCTGTTGGAAGATTCAAGCCATGCCCACGCTGAGCTTAAGGTGCCCTTGGAGTGGGGCACAGCGCCCTCACGCTCGCTCCCAGCGCACCCAGCTTCCTCACACCCAGCCTGCTATATTCATGTACATTCCGGTCCTCTGGAGGCTAACGTTCAAATACGAAATTCCCGTTGATACCTTATAGGATTTATCCCAAACACCTTTCCTAGGCTCCAATCTGTGCTGCTCCTTAGGGACATCGGTGTCAAGAGAACAGGGGGAGAGGGTCGTACACTGCAGGTATCAAGCGGTTGGGAAGGCTGCGGGAGGATCACGCACAGCGCCGGAGCGCCGCTTAGGAGCGCAGCAGTCCCTCTAAGGTCTGCAGCCCCGCCCGCCCGCGGTGCTCCCGGCACGGCCCCGGGCCTTAGGGACCGAGAGGTCCCGGCCTGGGGCCTTTCTGGACACGGCTTCTGGGCATTTCCAGTGGGGGAGGGGCGGAGAAAAGAAAACCTACGGCAGTGTCGATGACACCGTCAAATGCTTAAAACACCCGCCTGCCAGAAGTGGAGAGTGCGGTGCAGCCCGAAGAGCGGTAGAGACTAGGTGCGTGCACACTTCGGTTTAGGCGATTTATTACCCTTCCCTCCCCCAAACAGAAATAAAGGGCAGAAGACGGCTTCCGGGCGCGGCTGGTGCAGGCGCTGCGCTTACCGGCGCTCGGCGGGAGCCCACGTCGTCCGGCGGTGTCCTCCGCCTGGCTCGCCGCAGCCATTTTGGAGCGGCGGAGACAAAGAGCAGACCCGCCGCCTGTGCCTCGACCGCCGGCCCCGAGCGCCGCCGCCGCCGCACCCGCGAGCCCGCGCCCGCACCCGTTCCCACACCGGTACCCATACCCACACCCCGCGCCCGCGCCCGCGCCCGGCCTCTGGCGCTCGCGGCCATTGGCCGCGCCTTTTAAGCCCGCGCCGCAGCCAATCAGCGACGCCAGGGCGCGGGCGGGGGCGGTGCGCGCCGCCGCGCCTGCGCAGTTCGGCGCCCCTCCCCCCGTCCCCCGCCGCGCCCCCGCCCGCCCCGCGCGCCGCCCCCCGCCCGCCCCGCGCCCCGCTGGAACCTCCTCCTGCCCAGGCGCGCTCGGCCGAGCGGCGGCGGCGGCGGCGGCGAGGAGGAAAGATGGCGGCGGGCTCGGATCTGCTGGACGAGGTCTTCTTCAACAGCGAGGTGGACGAGAAAGTGGTGAGCGACCTGGTGGGCTCGCTCGAGTCGCAGCTGGCGGCCAGCGCGGCCCACCACCACCACCTCGCGCCGCGCGCGCCCGAGCTGCGGGCCGCGGCCGCCGGCGCGCTCGGGAACCATGTTGTGAGCGGCAGCCCGGCCGGAGCCGCGGGCGCAGGGCCGGCCGCCCCCGCCGAGGGCGCGCCCGCAGCGGCGCCGGAGCCGCCCCCCGCAGGTAGAGCGCGGCCGGCGGGCGGGGGGCCGCGGCGCGCGGGCCCCGGCTCACCACGCCGCCCGCTTGTCCCCGCAGGGCCCGCGCCGGCGCCCGCCAAGCTGAGGCCGCCGCCCGAGGCCAGCGCGGGGCCCTGCCCGGCCGCCGCCGCCGCCGCCGCCGCCGCCGCCGGGCCCGAGCCCGCCGCCGCCGCCCCGCCCGCCGGCCCCGGCCCCGGCGCCGCCAAGCCTGGCCCGCCCGGCCCGCCCGGCTCCGGCGCCGCGCAAACTTTGAATGGGAGCGCCGCGCCGCCCACCGCGCCGCACGCCGCACCTGCTGTCAGCCCGGTCAACAACGGGCCCGCGCCGCCGCCCGCCGCCGGCTCCGTCATCCAGGCGGCCCCCGCGCCCGCGCCCGCCGCGCCCTCGCCGCCCGCCGCGCCCGCGCCCGCCGCGCCCCCGCCGCCCGCGCCCCCCGCGCCCGCCGCGCCCGCCCGGCCGCCCGGCCTCCCCGCCGCGCCCGCGCCCCCCGCGCCCGCCGCCGCACAGAACGGGGCCGGCGCCGCCCCCGCCCCCGCCCCCGCCCCGGCCGCCGGGGGCGCCGCGGGGCTCAGCGGCCAGCCGGGGCCCGGCGCGCCCGCGCAGGGGGCCAAGGCCGAGCCGCCCAAGACGGCGGGGCCGGCGGCGGCGGGCGCGGCGGCCGGCGTGCTGCTCGGGCCTGCGATGCAAGGGGCGCTGCCGGGGCCCGCCGGCGGCCCGCCGCCAGCCCCTGGACCCCCGGCGGGGCTGCCCAAAGGCGCGGCCGGCGCGGCGACCCCCAGCCTGCCGCGGACACCCTCGGCCGCCACCGGCGGGATCCGGGCCACCCTGACGCCCACCGTGTTGGCCCCTCGCCTGCCGCAGCCGCCGCAGAACCCGACCAACATCCAGAACTTCCAGCTGCCTCCAGGTGAGTGGACGCGCGGGGTGGGAGGGGAGGGCGGGTCGGGCGGCCGCCGATCCAGGAAGTTCTGGGCTGCGTTCTGGGGCTGTGCCCGGGCCGCCTGCCTCGCGGCTTGCCCGCGGCTGCCGGCTGAGGGGCGCCTCTGCCCAGGTGCGGAGGCCATCCTGGGTGTCCGGTGAGCCAGCGAGGCCACTGGGCCACCCTGGCTTGGGTCGGCTGCCCCTGTTTCGCGGCCTTGATGCCTGTCTGCGCTTCTGAGTTGCTCGCCCAGGGGCTTCTCGTGGAGGCTGTCTGGCGCTGCTGCCCCTGCTAGCTCGGGCAGCACGGGGTCATGCTTGCCCTGAGGGCTCCCCAGTGTTGGAGCTTACCCCATCGTGTGTCAGGGCCCTCGCTGAACTCCGCTGCCTCATTATTAATCCAGGGCTGCTGTGGTGGGCCAGAGAGCATCCTCCTCCTTGTGCAGGTTAGGTCCAGGCTGGGCACCCCCCTACCCCCCAGGTGGGGAAGTCTGGATGGAAAGCTTGGGCTTCCTGCTGCTACTAAAGGCAGAGCTAGTGCTCAGATGCTGGAGGAGTTTCAACTCCAGGTTGGTCCTGAGTGTGGCCTTAGGCTTTTGTTGTTGCCATCCCCTGAGGTCAGTGTGACACTCCCAGCCAGGAGTCTGGGGTGCAGGAGGTGGTGGGATGTGGAGCCCAACACATGTGCAGGGGATGCTTTTAGTGCAGAATCTGCTTCAGCCTCTTCCTTCTCTACACTCCCTCTGCTTTGTCACCCTGAGTTCTTTGGGGCCCCTGAGGTTTGACGGGTGATCTCTTGTCCGGTATCACATGCCAAGCTGCTTTTGTTTGGGAGTGCTCAGACAGGAGCCCTCCCACTGAACGCTGGGCTGAAGTGCTGGGCTTCTGAGCACTCCTCTCTGGTACTAGTGATGTGTGCAGCAGCTGCAGCTGCTACCGTGGAGTGGCAGTAGTAGTGGATGAGGGAGGAAAGCATGGCCCTGCCACTAGTCCTCTCCTGCTTGTTGGGAAGAGCTGAGGGTCAGTTCAAAGAGCTGCAGCCTCTGAGGAGCACGTTTTCTTGTCATTGCCCATGGGTCTCAGGGCTGCTGGTCACACATTGGGATCTGCTTCACTGGGGCAAGAGCGGGGCGACATGAGAGCCAGAAACAGTGACTCTGGGTTGGCAATAGGAGCTGCCCAGCTCTGAGGAGGAAAAGAGGAGATGTGAGAGAAGCACCCAAGAATTTGTGGGGTGTCCTTGCCAACCTTTGGGCACTAAAGAATGTGCAGTGATGGGTGTTTGCTAGAAGGCTCTGTGTTGATGTTTATGTGTGTTTTGATCTTTTGGTGGAAAATATGGCTGAGTTTTAGTTGTTAGTGTTGAAAAGGTGGTTCATGGTTGTAGCCTTTTAGGTGAAATGCCTCAGTAATTTGTATCTGCTTAGGAAAACACCCTTGCAGTGGTCCTGCCTGTTTCAACAGTGCCTCCCTCGCAGCAAGGATGTCCCTACACTGCCCTTTCATCATGACAGCTGGTGACTAGGTGCCCATGGCGTCCTCTCACCCGTGGCCATCTGGGGTTAGCCATGTTTCTTTCTCTGAGCATCTTACAGGTAAAGCCTATCTCTTTTTTTCTACTTGGGAGAAGGAAGACATTTGAAAAGGGCAGCCTTGCCTTCTTGAGCTGTCCTGAGACTCACTTCTGCCTTGTGCTTTAAGGTCAGTTTTAGAGCTGGCTGTGCTTGACTGGAAGACAACTTGAAAAAGACGGAGGGTTGTGTGTGTTCCTTCTCCTGGTTCTCTGCATCAGGACTCACGCATGGGGAGCAGAGAACAGCTCCCTTGCACTCTTGGAGTGTAAATGCTCTCCCAGGAGCAGTGCTTTAAAGTGGCCCTGTGTTTTCTGGGAAATGAAATATTGACATTCATTTCTTCAAGACCCTCTTCAGTTCTTTGATCAGAAACACTTACCAATTCTGTTACTTTATTTTAATAGTGAAAGCTGAATGAGTATAGTTAAGTCCACCATTAATGCTCCAAGCCAGGGTACTTCTTTCTTAAACAGGGGCAGTCCATTCTTGAGAGCTACAGTGATAGGTTATAAATATTTTAGCCGTAGCCTGTGATTGGTGGATCAGAAAATGCTCAACTCTTCTGATTGACGCTATGCTTCGTAATAAAAACATACAGACCAAAGGTGGAAGTAAAGTCCAACAAAATTCACAGGTGGCCGACAGCTCCTCATTTTAGGACCCCGTGATGCCGACTGGTGGAGTGAGGATCAGGGGAGGGCAGGGTTTCGGAGCTGCACACAGGTGTGGAGTAGGATGTGGAGTGTGAATGGGGAACCGTGCCCCTCCTCGCACCTCTCCTGGCCGGAGGTTGTGGTGGGAGAAGGCAGGGAGGACCGCTTTCTCCTACTGTCCTGAGGCTGAGCACTGGACCTTGAGTAAAGCCCCATCCCCACAGCGCCCTTTGAGCTTCAATTAAACATCTGAATTTGGTTTTAGCAAACTCAGTCTTGATATTCTTTGTCAGGACTGTTTTGTAAGACATTTATGTTACTATAGTTGTATTTGCTCGTTTGAAGGTGCCCGAGTCTAAGTCCTACCCACTGAGGATGAGGAAAAGACTTAAGAGACGTGTGGAAACAGTGTCGTAGCCGTTGTCATGGTGTTGTCCGAGAACACCGAAAGCACTGGCTGCTCGTGTGTAACCTGGGGTGGTCTAACGTCAGAGTCGTCGTAATGTCCATGATCAGAGTTGAAAAGCGGAGAAAGTGATCTGACCCCCAAATTAGCATGTGGGTAAGTGGTTTTAAAAGATCTTTTTTAGATAGGTAGGTGCTGTGTTGAAGCTGCTAATTTTAAAGGCTATCTTGTAATGTGGCCAATTGGCACATTTCTTAATGTGCCTCCTTTTATTGTGATTTCTTGTAGGACTTACTTTTCTGTGGTTCTAGGTCCCTGCTCCAGGACAGAAAGCCATGTCCTCCCATTGGCCTAGATGCCCTGCCCTGGGGATGTCTGCATGCTGCCTTTTAAAATGATGCTTCATAAGATAGCTCTGTGTTGAAAGACTGTCTGGGGCACTGCTTCCCACCCTAGGGCGGTTGCGTTTCCTGTTGTGGGGAAGGGAGAGTCCCTTAGCGGCTGGCTGCACCTTTTTGGCTGGTTCTCCTGAGGCTTAGTCCCAAAGTCAGGCCATAGAAGAAGTAGGGCTGCTACTGTAGTTATGGGAGCTGCTGTCTTGGTGGCCAGCTGTGGCTCAGAGTGCAGGTGCCTTGGTTCAAGAGATGTTCTTGGAAGTTTAGACATTACTTATGCACAGTAGCTGTTTGATCTGGGACTGAGGACAGTGTTCATGGATTCTCCGTTTCCTGGCTGTGAAGTGAGGTTGGCTATTTTGTGAAAGATGTGGAGTTCCATCCAGAAGAGGTGTGCATCCTCCTAAGTTTTGTAACATTTTCACTATTTCAAATCAGATGTTGCTGTAGAAGTTGTGAAATCTTGTAAGGACAGCTTTATTAAGTCAAATCCATGTCTAGAGTGGTTGAAGAGTTTGGTGCTGGGG